GTGCTGGGGTGGGACTGGCAGCAGTTTGGTGACGCAGCGACTCGACCGACCAGTTTGTGGCAGGCAGCGACACTGAGACCCGTATCCTCTGGGCATGGAAAGGTGCCACTCCCGCTGGCACCTGCTCCTTGACTGAGCTTACATGGCTCAGACCCCGCCTCTCAGGTCTGATCCGCGGACAGACAGCACCACCCTGGGCTCAGCCCTGCCTCAGAGGGGAGCTCTGTCCTGCTCCCTCCTGCCAGCCCACCCAGCACAAGGCATCACGGGGGGCAGTGGTGGGCACCTCTCCAGCTCCCCCGGGCCTGGGTCTCCTGCGGGCCGGGCTGGCGGGCAGGGCTCCCATCCAGGCACAGCGGCAGGAGAGGGAATAAGCTGCTTGTACTCCCTGAGATCTCTGCGGAGGTGCCGGGGAGGGCCCAAGGGCTCCCGGGCTGCCAGCCCAGCAAGGGAGACCCTGACCTTCTCCTCCCTGCTGCAGATCACCTGCTGCTGAGTCAAGAGGCAGGCGGCCCCTCCCCTCCGCCCAGCTGGCCTTACGCAACAGCTGCCATTGTACCCGCCCACCCGGAGGGCACCTCAGAGCAGGAGGAGAGATTCATTCACAGGAACAGCAGTCAGCTGAGCCGGCAGAAAGCCAATGAGGAGTGGCAAGTCCTTGGAGCCGGGATCCAGAGGGCAGATGGGACGAGGGGAGGGACACCCTGGTGCCACCTAGAAGGGCCGACTGAAAGCCACAGTCGCTCCATCTCCGTCAGCAGTGGGGCTGGGGGGGGACACATGGTCCCCCGCCGAGCCCTGTCCCCAGCAAGTCACGGCCTTCCTCTGCCTCAGCATCAAGCACTGGCACCCACGATTTGGATTCCTTGAGTGGCAGGGGAAGCAGGTTTCCTCCACTTTCCCACAAGCCCTGTAATAACACCCTGCCGTGCCAGTGACCCATCTCCGCCTAACCGTGCCCGCTGGCTACACTGCGAGAGCCGGGATTGCAGGAGCGGTAGGTCGCCAGCGTTTTAACTGCTGGCAGGACGTCACAAGGCCCGGGGGCTCGGTTTGCGCTGCCTCGCCTGGACGTTAGCGAACCCAGGCACTTTCTGAAAGCGCGGTGCTTGGCCGAGATTTCCTCTCAGCTCCGCAGCCCCGGCTGCTGCTTCCTAGCCCCGACGGGGCCGCTGTCAGCAATCCCGTACGCACCTCTCGAGCCGCTCTGGCAAAAGACAACGCTGGAAAACTTGCACATTGGCCGTAACCGCGGGCTGGGTAGGAGCGACTTACGCAGGGTTCCCGTGGTTTCTTCTCCACAGCCCTGGCAAAGCAGGCCAGCATTCTTGCCGATTGATAGATGGGGAAACCGAGGCACAGGCTGAGACCAGGCCTTGTCCGCCAAGGCCAGCCACCAGACCTTGCCCCCGCGTGAAATTTCAGTTGGTGCTTTTGTTCCTTGATTTCCCACCCCTAGGCTGGCATGACAAGTGCAGACAAGAGAATCACAAACACAGGAGGGAAGCCAGAGGCAGTTAACAGCCCCCGCACCCTTGACATGGCGGCATGTTTGTGCACGCTTCCGCTTGCGTCGCTGGCAGGCTGGGCTCAGACCCACCCTGGGCAGGGTCATGTCTTGAGTAGGGAGGTTAAATATCCGTTAACTGAACAGTCGAGTAACCTCACGATTGATCATCGGGTAGTCGACTGTTCTGTAGTCCCCAGGCTGGGGCCAGCAGCCACCGCGCTCCAGCCTCACTCCTAGGGAGCCCCCTGCCACTGCCTCTGTATCAGAGGCAGCAGCGCGGGGTGCCAGGCGGGAGCTGGTCTGCGAGGGGATCCGGCCTAAAAAATAGCTCCCCATGTGGACCTGTCGCCCTATGCGGCTGCCTCTGATACAGAGGCAGCAGTGCGGAGTGGCAGCAGCCCGTCTCAGGGAGGTTCTGAGTTCCCAGACACAGCACGAGCCAGAACTGAGCCAACCTGCTGGCCAACCTGCTAAAAATGTACTGGCTGGGGGGGCGGGGAGGGAAATGCGTGTAGTCTGTAGCATTAACCTATAAGCTTTTGCTTATTGGTTACTTGACTACACTATTCCATCCCTAGTCTTGAGCTGCACTGATGGCCCATCTGGCCTCCCACGACAGCCTGTTTGTCGGTCCTCAAGTCAGTGCCTGCGATCCAGCCTGTGATGGCTAATGCCTCCCCCCACCCCCCAACTCTCCCTTCTTCCCCACTTGACCCCGGTCCTGGAGGCAGCGGCAGCCTTGACGTGCAAGCCAGCAAGAGGTCACTGAGTGCTTGACAAACGCTCGCTGATCTTCATCACCCCGTCTGCGCAGGCAGGGAGGATACCCCGCGGGGAGACCGAGGCCCGGAGCCGCGCAGCACCCAAGAGTTCCGACTCCTCGCCCATTACTGCTTAAATGCCAAGAAAACAACAAGTCCAGCGAGCTTGTCATCGGGCTGGAAGGGCGGCCATTGCACCGTCCAATGATTCAATCCTGCCTTCGGGAACTTCCTTCCAAAACCCCGGCAGCTTCCCCCCAGCACTACCAGGAAGCCACCTTCTGCCGGGAAGGGAACCTTCGGGTCACTCGGCCTCTTCCGCAGAGGTACAAGGTCTTTCTTTGCTAGTGCGCTGGGGGCATTTCCGGTTCAGACAACGCCCTGCCTCCTCTGCTTCCAGCGCAGAGCCAGGTGGAATGGCTGCTGCTGGTGGCTCGGATTTGATGATGCAGCTGAGATCTACATGAGACGAGAGGCGGGAGCGACTCTCCCGGGGGCAGACTCCCAGCTCAGAGCCCGTTCTATGCCTGACACCGGGCAGCAGAGGACAAGAAGAATTCATGCAAGTGTATGACCTTCAACTGAGCGCACTGCCAGCTTCCCGAACTGCTGCTCAAAGCCAACGCCCGCAAGACCTGTTTGCAAGATGCCACCTGCTCTTATTTCCTGGGCAGACTCACGAACACAAGGGATCCGTGGTCATCTCCAACAGCAGCACCTCAGTGACAGGCAGCTGCCCCGGCTCCGCTTCAAAGTTGTGCACGATACCACTTGCACGTTCTCTGCTCCACACGCTTGGGTGATGAAAAGCCTCCGTTATACTTGAACGCTTGAATGTTTTGCTCTCCCCTGCCAAGAAGCAGGACTGCTCTGGCCAGAAAGACCAATGCATTGCAGCAACTTCCTGGCAGGGCACCACCCGGCAGAGGTCATCGGTGGCAGAAAGCGCTGGTGGCTAGCGAGGAAGAGGATGTTCATTTTCAAGGCCTGGGCAAGAGGGACACTTCCCACAGATCATCAAGGAAGGTAACATCATGTCTTGCCATTCGAAAGAGACTGTTAGAAGCAGCCAGTTCCAGCAATCCCCTGATTGCAGGGCTGCACCGAACCGGTTAGAAACTAACAAAGGAGACTGGCTGCTGAATCTGGTTCCTATTTCTTTTTCTGGAAAGCTCTTTGCACGTTATCATAACATCTTCCATTGCTAAAGAAGCCAGCATTGGCCTCCCCTGCCCTGAAGGGTAAACCGAAAGGCCAAGGAAAAAAACAACAAATGGTCCGCTAGCACTTTATAGACTCATGAAACATGTTGATGGGATCATGAGCTTTCCTGGGCACAGCCCACTTCTTCAGATGCCATCGACACGTTCCGTGAGTCTGTCAAGTGCTACCAGACCATTTGTTGTTTTTTTCCTGTAACAGACTAACTCGGCTGCCCCCTGAAGCTCCCAAAGGCCGAGGGCCATTCAGCAAGCCCCTGGTGGTAGGGCTGGACCCTTGCTTCTGTGAGGCTAGATCCCATTTAGACCCAGCAAGTTTTACTAAGCCGGTTGTTGTGAATGTGTGGTCCACAGACCCAGGGTCATGCCTAGGGGATTGCGGTGTCTGGGACAAATCAGCCCCCGCCAACTTGTGGCCTCCCAGGGGCTGAGCTCCGGCATGGTACTGAGCTACCTCCTGCCTTCAGGAACTCCTTCCAGCACCCCAGTGCCTACTGCAGGGCTACTGTTGGCCACAGTGTCCCAGCTGTCAACCAGGGCGGGGGACTCCTTGCACCAAACAAAGGCAACTCAGTCGGGCGGGCGCTGTCCCCATTAACTACGAACAGGGCAGGGCCCACAGAGGTGACAAATTCATCTGCCAATCGCTCTGACCTATGGGGACCCAAAGGCAGGGCCCAGAACCATTGCCCGAATTCGCCCCACCCAAGGGACCTACCCCGTGCACGCGAGCTGCACACATCTGGCGCTTTGGTTCCAGAGGCCGAGTTCCATTCAACTAAGCTCACTTCCGAGAGATGGGCAATCCAGCCGACATTGCCCCAGGGCTGTGCTGGGCCGGGTCCCCCAGAGCATAAATCACCAGCTTCCCTGAGGCATCCATCGCAGCCCCCCACCCGGCCCCAACGCTGCATGCAACTGGCCCCCTCCTCCCAGACTCCCCGCTGGGCTCCCTCCCCAGACACCCCCCTCTAGGACCCGGGCCCCTCCTTCCCACTGGGCCCCTCCCAGCACCCCCCTCTAGGACCCGGGCCCCTCC